TTTTTTTTTAAAAAAAAAAAAAGATTAAGTCGAAGCTCAAGCATAGTTTTTTTTAATCATCCCACAAAACATGTGTACAAAAACTAAGTTGGAACCTGAGATAGCTTCTTCGGCAACTTTAGCATGTTGTTTCACCAAGTTATCTTTATCAGTAATTTCCGAGTGGACTTCTGACAACTTTTCATTCATCTGCTTTACTTCATCCTCCAAGGTTTTCACCAAGTTATCTTTATCAGTCATTTGCGAGTGGGCTTCTGACAACTTTTCATTCATCTTCCTTACTTCATCCTCCAACGTCTGCACTTGTTCTTCATAGGACTTCACTTGATCCTCCAAGCCAGTTAGGTACATGTATGATTCAATTGAGATTTTAACATGCTTTGGCCTTTTATTATTGATATCATGTTTTTCCTGCAAAAGGATAGGTAGGAAAGATTAAAAGATCTCAAGACACGGCAAAAGTTAAAACAACCTTTCAGTCCATACTATAACTGATTAAGAAATGGAAAACCCAAATCAGATTAGAATTTTTTTCGGTTTCACTTTACTCTCCAGTTATGTTGAGCTATAAAAAGAGCAAAATTATCAATGAACAATAGTGCCTACAGACAATCCCTCATCACTTTGGGATGCAAGCATTGGACTAACAAAAATCAATTTTTTTTGTTAGGTGATTTTTAGCAAATTGGTCAACATTTAAATCCAAGAATAAAATTAAATAACAGGACAAACCTTGTCGGCTTGATTTCCAGCTACGACTGGAGTAGTTGCTGGAGAACTTGATGCAGAAAAAATAGTTCTCTCTATTGCTAGCTTATCAGATGATTTTCTCTTCCACGGCCAACCACGTTTATCCATTGCTATTTGCTGCAATAACACAATTTACTGAAAGACACTCTACCAGATGAAACTCACTCTGAATGTTATAGGAAGGATGCAAGAATAAACGTCTTATTTATGTTGTTCGAGCTTAATACTCCGCAAAAAAACTTCAGTATCAGAAAATTCTTTAGAATCCTACTTTTTATTATCATGATAAAATTGGAACATCAAAAAATTCACAAAAAGCCATATATGATGGCCATAACGGTGGTTTCATATATAAAAATACAAAATAGAATACTTCACCCAAGTCTTCAATGCAGATTTTGAATCACAGTCATGACAAAAACTTAGGCATGCAACTACCCTTAGTAAATAAGAATGATGATGGTGATTGGAAAAGGACAGGTCACCAGAAACAATCAAAATATACTTTGAATATGACTTTCCATAATCTGAGTCCTGAGAAGATAAGGAAAAGGAAATGTGAACCCATAAAAATTATCAAAAGCTTGCGAAAATAATTTTTTTAAATTTATCTATGAAAACCTGATTTCAGCTCACTTAACATTTTTAGAAAATAGAAATTCGGATATACATTAAAGAAAAATAAAACACTATTCGTAGCAATTTCAGTCAAAACAAAATTGATCAAGCAAAAACACCTCTGAACTCTGAAGCAGAACAACGGCCCAGGCAGAATATTCTCGTTCAACAGCTGATGAAATTATGAAGGCGATAGCTCAAATCACACATACAGAACCCAAAAAAAACTTCCGGTAATAGGACAATGAAGAGAGCGATTAATGTAANACTGATCAATCAAGCAACGAAACAAAAAACATACATTCACTCACCGGCGGGAGCAGACTTGCAATTCCGGTGGCGGAAAATATAGGAATCTGGAAAATTTAACGCAGTTAGTTGCAGTGTGTGAGTGTGTGTAATGGTGGTCGTGGGATAGTGAGTGGGTTAGAGCGTTATTTGGCTTTTTGCACACAATTTATGCCTCACTGAACCAAAAGAAAACGTGAAAAAAATAAATAAAATAAACTTTCAAACGCGTGAGGCTTTTGAATATGGGAAGAATTAACTTTTTTTGGAAATAAAATCTAATCACAAATTGGTGGCTATTTTCTGTAAGCAAGGAATGTATTTATGTACATACATATAATATATCTGTTGAGTTGTATGCACTATTCCAAATAGTATTGAGGTGTGAAAATGTACACACTTTTTATATGTTTAATAATTAATAATTTAATAAAACAAAATAAAAAAATAAAAATACTGTAATGTTGCAATTTTATGTCTAGGGTATTTAAATTACGGAAAATGAGACACGCACTGGCACGAGGGCGACAGGGTGAAAAGTGTATTGTAATTTTATATTGTAATGTTGCAATTTTATAGTAGTATATTTTATTGTTATTATTATTATTATTATTATTATTATTATTGTAATTGTTATCATTTTTTATTTTTATACTTTTGACAATTGTAGCTCTATCCAACTTGTAGCTCTATCCTCTTGCATTTTATTTAGATTTTCTTTTTTCTGTTTGTATTTCGGACTTGTTTCTATAAATTAAAATCAACATAAATCCAATAAATATGCTATTACTTAGTAGTGAACATATTTTTTTTTTTTTAATTAGGACGAAGAACGAGATTCGAACAATATATAACCAAAATTACTTCCAATCATTGACTCTTAACCCAATTGAACTACAAAAATAAATAATGGTTTTTCGAAATTCCAGAAATCGATTTTTGAAACTCCACAAATTCCATAGCGTAACAAACAAAGAAGTTAAAATTGACAACTAAACTAACTTAAATTTGCCAACTCCTTTGATTTATTTCAGTTTTAGTTTTATATTATTTGAAATATTTCATAATACTTTATAACATATTGCATTGTATATCAAATCGAAAATCGTTAAAATATAATCATTTTGATATATCATATATAAAAATTAAAATACAAATAAAAAATTTATAAAGTTTTAAAAATAAAAAGAATACATATTTATAATAATTAATATATGAATTAAATAAGAAAAAGTAAGAGTAGCATAAAGTAATTCAAAAAAAAAATACTAGAATAGTTTATGGTAATTCTCAAGTCTAATAGTCAAAACCAATTAAACGTGACATTTGTCAATACGAAACACAAATTTATGTCAAATAAACTTATGAATCATACGAGTCTGCTATATAGATTCAGCGCATTCTAAAATTATATATAAAGTGATATTCGTATTTTTATTTAATCTTATACTTAAAATGATATAAAAGTATATATATTATTCTAAGTTCAGACTTTTACCACTATTTTGCACAAGTACAGATTTAACTAAAACTATGACTTTATTTTTATTTCATTGCTAAGTTTTTTGTTCAAAATAAAATATTTAATAAGAAAAATACGTAAATGTTGAATATTAAAAAGTATATTGATATTTCAATATAATTAAATATTACTTTAAAAAACTAAGGAAAAATAATAAGTATAAAAATTTGTATTCAAAACGTCCAATAGCTCGAAATCCCTGAACCAAATCAATTTTTTGTACGATTTTGGAGATATATATGATTTTTTATTTCCTATTTTCTCTTACATCTTTGAACCAAACAACCTCATACTCACTTCTAAATACATTGCATTATTATATATCACACATTAGATTATTTTTATAATTTAGTGAATGTGACGTGTATATACAACTGTACATGACTACTAATTTGTAATGAGGGTCAGTCTCTGTTGCTTGAGTTTTGCTATAATTTACGGGCCATATTAAATTTTCTTATTCCTCTATTTTGCAATGTCTCCATAACATTGACATAGGTGCCAAGAAGNATCAGAATCCGTTCTCTAACCTAATTATCTGCCAAAGCTATGACAACATTCAGTTCAGATAATATTTACGGAAATTTTGTGACCTTTTGTTCCGATAGATTTAAGTTGTGCATAATATTCCAGCGTATTTAGCCGAAAACACTCTCCCATAAAAATATGACATTTACTTTATCAATATCAGTTCTCTAATAAGTGATTGTTAAATTCTATTAATTTGAGAGAAAATGTTATATTTTAAATTAATTATTAGTGTTACAAACTAAGTGTTTTGATTACAATCAGAATCATATGAACTGAAGTGTATGGTTCAGTTCTTACAGCTTGAACTAAAAACAGAAAACAAAATTACAAAGTGAAAGCGGAAAGAGAATAGCCAAGGCGAGTGTTACTCTTTCCGAAGACGAATATGTCCCATGATTTGATGACAAGTTCAGACGTCTCGTCTCCAAAGATACAACAGTTGACGTCTCGAGGACTGTACGTAGCACTCCAGACTTTCGAGTTCCGATAAATTTGGACGGAGTCGAGAATCGAGCACTTGTATACTATGATGAGTGAGGCTATGGAGTAGTGTGCAGATGATCAATGTTGTGTATTATGCAACTCTACTAAGGCACGTAACAACTCAATCATGGTTGTTGTAATGGGTATTTGGCCGATTTTCAAGTGTTAATTCACCTTCACTCCATCGGATAACCACCAAAACGGTCGAGTGAAAGGTCATACACGTCCAGGTTCATTGAACCTAGTCAAGGGCACATCGGTTGGGCCAAACTCAAGTCCAAATCCAATTCGTTTAGGATTTCATTTTGGGCAACAATTCTGCAAATAAATTTGCAACAAAAAGATTGTAGGATCTGGGCCCAAGGCCCAAGCCCAGCACCAGTCCAGACCGACTAAGTCCTGCTCACGGTCTAATTGTTAAGTCTTAAGTCCCAAGTCCCAGGCTCGTGCCCGTTCCTGAGCCCGAGCCAAGCCAGACGCGCGCCTGCGAGCATGTGTAGCTGAAGCCATCACCAACACTTGGTGCATAACTTTGTTGTTGTTACCTCTCCAATTATAATAAATATAGTTAATTTTATTTAAGAGTCCAATGTGGGATATTATTTTTTACCCTTTGAATCCCACAACCAATGTTTTACATGTCCATTAATGGCTAATTTAGTCATTTATTTCTCACTCGCCGAAAATCAGTTTTGAGAAAATAAATATTACCACGATTATCTACTCGAAACGTATAATTTTTCTACAAATTTAATTCAACCCGAATTAAATATTTAACCATGAAAAAATTAGTCAAAATAGGGTGAAACCCAAGTTTTTATAATTGATTTTCCAATAATTCCTTACATGAGGGGAAACCAAATGTATGCATGTATGTGGTTTTTAACATTTCTTAGTTAACATCATCCGATGCACTGGCGACTTACTGGTAATGCCTTGAACTATCAAATTTAATAAGTCGCAGACACCAAGGAGAAGGAGGCTCGTCGTTTCATGAATGGGCTTCGGGCAGACATCTGATACATGGTGGCTAGTCATGGATTCTTTTCCTATGCTGAGACAGTTCTCTGAGCTCAGCAAATTGCAGCCAGCCAGAACTTAGAGGTGGCAGTGGCCCAGCCTGTGGTGGTTCAGTCGGCAGCAGTGAAGCCAGCTGGGAACGGTGGCAAGAGGAAGTGGAATGCTCGACGTGACCAGCATATGAACAAGAGAAGAGGAGCGGACAGACGTGGAGATCGACCTCCTGCCCAGAACATTAAGCCTGTCCGCTAGGTGCCAAGTGGACCCGCCGCAGAGTGGTAACTGTGGCAAAGCTCATGGAGGAGTCTGCATGGCAGGCCAGCATGTCTGCTACAACTATAAGAAGCCGGGACATTTCACGAGGGAGTGTCCGGAGCGTGACCAGAGGCAGACCAAGTAGGCCCCGAACCCGGGAGACAGAGCTTGAGTACTCGCCCTGACCCAGACGACCCATACCAGCAGTAGTCAGCCCGATCCAATACCGGACCAACCACACCGAGCTAGTATCGAGCCAAGTGTCTCGAGCCATTTTCAACCATTGACCATTTTTTTTAGTCGAACCTTGATTTTTGAATCCGAGATCTTTTTTCGGGTTTTAAAAGTACCTTTAGCGAGAGTTCTAAAGTCATTAAAATTTCACTAAATCAAGCGTGCCCAGGCGACCCGTGCCAACAGCGGTCAACACGAACTAGCACCGGACCAGCCGCACCGAAGTAAGTGTCTCGAGCCATTTTTCACCATTGACCATATTTTTTAGCCGAAACTTCATTTTTTAATCTGAGATTTTTTCTGGGTTCTAAAAATACCTTTAGTCGAGATTTCCAAAGTCATTAAAATTTCACTAAATCAAGGACCCTAAGTTATTTATTTTCTCTTAGTGGTAATTTGAGTTACCAAAAAACAAAGTTAAGTTATTTATAAACGCTTTATGCTAAAAAAATGTGGATTTTGAAGAGTGGAGCCTCAAGAGTTGTTCCGTGATATCATCTTTTCATCATCTGCATTTTCACCACAATCTCCGAATACCAGGTGGGGATTCTGTACTATGGTTTATTCTATATAACCATGTGGTAGTATAGTTTTGATATGTATGTGATTGTGGGCCGACGGGCCGAGCAAGCAGTTTTTCCTACTAGCGGTACCGGTTGATGCCGACAGCACCAGTAGAAGCGACTGATGTCAAGTTACTTACTAGCAGAAACAGTTGATGATGATGGCACTAGTGGGAACCATACCAACAGTTCATGAACCTAGGTTAACATAGTATAATAGTCAAAAGTCGGGTAGATTATGGAGGCATGAAATAAGAGTCACTAGTTTGAATTTACCTGGAGGCTTGAAGTCGGTTTACCATGGCGTCTTGAAATAAGAGTCACTAAGCTGGGTATTTTATGCACTGAGACAGAGGATTATAAATGTTCATATGATTATTATGCTTCTGTGCTTATACTGAATCAATGCATAGTATGAATTTTACCACTAAGCTAGAGAATTGCTCACCCCATTGTTTTTCAGGTTGATCAGCTGGCGACGGTCATGAGAAGACGGGCATGGTAATCACTAATAATGTTTATTTATGTTTTCGCAAACTTGTTATGAAAAACATTGTTGGTTTGATTGTTTCATACTTTGAACTATTTGGAACTGTGTATGAATAATC